TAATAACTTTCCACTTTTTACATGTCATTCTTATCCTAATGTTTGTGGATAAAAAAGGAACCAACATGAATAATTTACTAAATAGTAGTTACAACTTATATTTTATCACCATTTTAGCAAACTTATGCTTGACTAATTTGACATTATCTTCAAGTAAATATCTCAAAAATTCATTCAATTTTGAGAATTTATGTAATAAAATAGTTAAATCTTTTTATATCAATAAGGTCACAGATTTTTTCCTTTTGTAAAATTAATCAACTAAATTTGTAAGCTAAAAATTTGACATGATAAAATAATATTTTTTATGTTATGTATAGCATGACTTTTCATTTTTGAAATTTTGTAAGTTGTTATTTTTCATGGATATTTAAAAATGTTAGTTGTGTTTTTTTTCAATAAAGATATCACATTGATTTTAGATCTTGCTTTAAAACCTAAGGTGCCTAAATAAAAAGGTTAACATTGTTTGACCCAAAATAATTATTTTATTTTTGAAATTTATTTTATGTTATTTTTTCTAATCCAATTAGCAATTGACCGACATAAATTTTGTATATTTGGGTACTAGGTGGTGATGTCAGTGCTGAGCACGGGCCCAACATTTTGCTCTCTGAATAACTAAGAAAATAGATGCTTTAATGTGCTTCGCTTGGCTGAGAGGGTAATAAGATGTATGCAATCATATTTATAGGGTATTGTTGTTTATAAGCATATTATATGTTATAACTTATAAGTATGGAAAAAGAATTACTGAAACTCTTCTGATTGAAAGACAAGACTGTCAATTTAGTTGTCTTTAACTACTTTCTAGCTAAGTAGATGTGTAATGATACTTGTAAACTTTGTGCATCTATCTTTATTTTTTTTTTTATATATGCTTTCGCATCTTAAATTTCATTAAGGGTGTGAAGGAATGTTTTCCAAATTTTTACATATATTTTGTTGGTTTAAATGTTTTAAAAAATATTTTTCAAATCACTTTATTTTCTTCAAATTTAAGAAAAATGACTTCTCTTTAAAAATTAAGGAAAATATTTTTAAAAAATCTCCTCCAGCCTCAAATTACAATTTTTTATCTTACCACACCTCGTACCCCAACCCTCCAATTAAAAAAAAATTAATTAAAATTTTAAAAAATTCTTTTTTTAAAAAAAAAACAATTTATTTTCTCATATCCCCGGCCCACCTACCCCCAAACCAGCCCCTACAATATAATCATTAAGTTCAAAACAAGCTAACACATGCGAATTAGTTCATGACATAAATATACCAATGGACACATTCACATACAAAGATAACAATAACCAAGATACTGACTTTTTGATAACATAGCTTGTGCCCTTACCATAAAGAAGTACCGTTCTTCACACATATATCGTTATATATTTTAAGTACAGGGACTCGGTATACACACACTCTCACAATCGAATTCAATATCGTACATGCACAATACCATAGATATACCATTATATTCAATACCTAGACTCTCAAACTGTTAAATTAGGATCATCAATGACTTTCTTAGATTGTAAAGTAGGCTCAGGGTCAGGTGTGGTATAAATATATTTACAATGACTTTTCTAACCTCATTGACATTTCATTCGCTACTTTCCTCTTTTACAACTAATCCTTGTACTACCAAAAACATTCATTCTCCTAAAATCATCAGGCTTAGAAAGAAAAGAAGAGAACGAAGTGTCAGTTTTTTCTCCTAAATAAGCAAAGCTCTCCTTCAAGTTCAGTCCCAAAATCCAATGGATTTCTCTGTAGATTTGTTGACCAAGTATGTGGATATTATGTAAGGGTTTTCTTCGCCCTTATGCCCAAAACTTCATACTCCTTTTTGGATAAATATGATTTATGAAGCTGGGGTTTTTGCCCAACTATGCAGATTCATTACCCCATTTGATTTTGTGATTTCTACTCAAATTCTATACTTATTTAAATGAGTTTGCATGAATTCTTATGGAGATTTAAAAGAAAAAGAACTTAGTATGAAATTGTAGTATTTTCACATGAATTAGATTTTTTCTAAAATTTAGCTTAGGATGTTAGTATTTAGTCAATGAAGGTATTAGAAATATCTCCAAAGTTCTTGAATTTGCTTCTTAAAATTGTACGTCTATATATCTTTATTTTTTACACATACGTTTTCGCATCTTAAATTTGATGAAACTAACTCGATTCTTATCAAGAGATATTAACCTATGTGTTAACACTATCATCGGTAAAATAATCATAAAATTGTAACTAATACTACTATTAGAAACTTTTTGCTTTTTGATAGAACTACAAGAACACTCAAAAGTAAAAAGTCAATACAAATACTTTGAAGAAAAAGAGATATTAAATGTATTTAAATTCTAAATATATGTTTTGAAATCTATTTTTTAAATTCTTTTTTTGAGATACAAAGCTATTAATAATTTATTATAACTGATTTTAAAAAAAAAAAAAAAATTCAATCGATAATATAGCTAATTAGTAGAATCGATAATACAACTAATTAGTAGGATCTACAAGATTATCACAAAATTTGACATAATTAACATTAATGATACTATTTGTCAAATATGATCTTACATTACTGTGTTTCCTCGTTATAGGTCTGGATTTACCATTGTAATAACGGTTTTGAACTCTACCAATTGCAGCAGTGCTATCACAATGAATTAAAATAGGAGGAAATTGGTTTTTTCAAAATAAGATATTTGAAATAATAAATCTCTTAACCAATTCGCTTCCTCACTATTTGAAGCTAAAGCAATTAGTTCAACCTCCATGGTAGAGTTAGCAATTATAGTTTGCTCTTTTGATCTCCAACAAATAGAACCACCACCTAATTTAAAGACATAACCACTGGTAGAACATGAATCACCTGATAAGGTGTTTCAATCTGCATCAGAAAAACCTTCAAGTACGACAGAATATTTTTTTATAGAATAAACCACAATTTTTGTTCCAATTAGATATCTCATAACTCTTGTTATAGCATGTCAATGTTCATTACCGGGAAAATTGTTACTGAAAAATTATAAGATAACAGAATTACAAGATTACAATTGAAAATCAAATGAAGAAATAAAATTCTCTTAAGGCTGAGGTGCATATCTCTCTCTCTATTTAAGGAGATTCAAGCCCATTGCAGCAAATGTTTTTCACCGGTCCAACATTAGTCCTCTTGACTTTACCCCTCCAGGATACAACAGGCTAATCACAAAGTGCAGCTCAACAAACTCTTGACAAGAGTTGAATTCAAAGCTCCACAAAAAGAACACCTTCCTTCAAATAATAAGAATTCTTTTTTTTGACTAAATACAATTCAAATCAAAGTGAAATTATTGATGAACTACAATTATATCATCAATATTGCATTATCGTAAAAATTATTTTAAATTTTACATAAATATTCAACTTTCAAGACTATTACGTTTCTCCCACAAATGCTCTATTAATGCACTACGGAGTTTAAAATGATTTGTCCTTATTTTTTTATTTGTAGCTAAAAATTGTTTAAATTAAAATTTTCATCTTGTATCCAAATTATTTTGTATACTAATTTACTTCCCCTATTCCATTTTAAACTATTGCATCAAGTATTTTCATACTCATTAAAAAGTGTAGTTTAATCATTTATCACTATAACATAATAGTGGATTGTTTGAATTATCATTTAAATTTTGTGCATTCTTCGTTGTGAAAAATAATTATAATTTTAAATTACATATTTAAAGTGATAAAAACTTTAATAAAATCAAATTAGAAAAACTGTTAATTCGGGATGGAAGTAGTATACTTATCAATAATATATTTTTAGATATTATATTACTTAGAAAATAATTATTAATATTAGAGACTTAATTAATAGTATTATATAGTATAAATAATATTAAAATAATTTTTAAATTACATATTTAAAGTGCTAATTATTTTTAAAAATAAAATAAAATAAAATAATTATTAATTCGTATGGAAGTAGTAACTTTTAAATAATATATTTTTAGATGTTCTATTACATTAGAAAATAATTACAAATAATAAAGACTTAATTAATGATATCATAAAAATAATATTAAAATATTGAAAAAGTGAAATAGAGAGGTGAATTGTAGTTCTCCAAATTTGGAGAACTATTCACCTCTCAATAAATAGAGTATAGAGGGTAATATAGAGGGGGGTTGGAGTGGACATTCTTTATTTTACTCTCCAAATATAGAGAATGGAGAGTAAAATAGAGATGGATTGGAGATGGTCTAATAAAAATTCTCTTTTTTCACAAACTTTATGTACTCTATATTTTTCTTGTGTGAAACAAATGAAGACTACCACTATTTATAGTAAAAGAAGTCTTCCTAGCAATGAATATGAAGATAATAGAGTAGTAAATAGTGAAGATAATGATCTTAGAAGTTACATAGGTTATAAGGTATAATGGAGGAATAAAGAATGATGAGTAATGCACCATGCTGAGTAATTAAGATAATGGTCTAATTTCTGACAGGTATGAAACCGTGGAATTGGAGAAAGCACTTCAACATAATTTTAAGAATATTAAAATACTCCTAAAACCAACAATTTAAAATAATAAAATGCTCCTAAAACCAACATCTATCTTGAAACAAGTAGATCTTACTTGCATAAAATTTTCTTAATTTTGAAAAAATCCATTTTTTTTGCACAGACAACTATTATAGAACAATTAATATCATTCTAGAAATAAAAAAAATACATAAAATTATCCTCAAACTTGACAATCAAATGTACGTACTTTAACACTTTAACTCACGAATATTTAAATACTCTTTTCTAATTTGAAGTGAACTAGATGGAAGAAACAACATTTTAGAACATCTTGCATTAAGAAACATTTATTTAAGTAGTTAAAAGACATAGACGTCGGCATATTTGAATACAAAATCAAACAACATGATTGGTAACATAAAAAGTGTAAGCATACAAACTATCTTTCGAAGATAGCAATATCCTAATCACATCTCTCACCATATTGGTATCTTTGCAAGCAACATTTCCCAGCTACGATCTAGAAAACGAAAATAAGCATGTCTCCATGATCTCTTGAAAAGCAGTGAACCACAAACACCCCAAAAGTTTAGCGCAAATCCTATAACCAATGAAATGTAAAACCAATCCCCTTCATCTTTGTCACCCTCATCATCTTCATATTCGTGATTTGGAATATTGTCATCTAAACTGCAGTTCATCAAGAGTGGAAGTCCGCAGAGTTTGTTTCCTTGAAAACTCGTGAGATCAAAGCTTTGAGGTTGAGTGCTCAATGGTATCATACATAACGAATTATTATCAAATAGATTCAAGAAGCTCAAAGTGGACAAACTTGAAAAGCTTTGTGGGATTTGATTGTAAAATTTATTTTCTGAAAGATCAACAGATTCCAAGACTTTCATGTCACCAATGTCATTTGGAATCTTACCAGTTAGGTTATTATTAGAAAAATTAAACGATCTTAATCCTACAAGACCTGTTAAACTTACAGGAATATCCCCAGAAAGCTTATTGCTAGACATATCCATACTTGTAAACAATGCCAAAATGGTGTCATACTGGTACTTATTGCCTTTATTCGTTACTATGGCCCTCTCTCTCAAAACTCCAAAAATGTAGGAATAATTTAACTCATCATCATCTCCCACTTCCTTTTTTCCTTTGACCATTGCACTGAAATTGCCAATACACCTTTATTCCAACAAATGTATTGTTTGCAAGGTCTAAAATCTGAAGATCTTTGAGTCGACAAAGTTCTTGAGGCAATTCACCATTGAATTTATTGGACTGAAGGATAAATACTATCAAGGTTAAAAACCTCATTCCCAACCAAGAAGGTAATCCCCCAACAAACTCATTCTCGTCTAAATCTATTTTATGCAGTTTCGTACAATTTTCCAAGGATGAAGGAAATGGACCATTAAGTCTGTTTATTCGTAAGTCCAGGGATAACAAACTATTCAAAACCTCCATGGATCTTTATATGCCTCCAATCAAATTATTCTCTCACAAGATTAAAACTTTCAACTTTGACTAATTCATCCAACAATTAGGAATTTCTTCTGATGAATTATTTCTGTCGAGGTTTAGGATCTCCAAATTGTAAGATACATTCTTTGCTTCACACAAGAAGTTGGATAAACCTTTTGAAAACAAATTGTTTGAGAGATCTAGCTCAGTTATACTCGTTGAAATACGTGGTAGGGATCCTCTAATATTGTTGGAACCTAAGTACATTAACCAAGGACCTCCCAATCCAACTAACCATGAAGCTGTTGAAATGATTAGAACCTCACCAATAAATTAATTGTGAGAAAGATTGAGAAAAACAATTTGAGAAGATAAGTTCCAAAACCAAGTTGGAACTTCACCTTGTAATCCACCATCTGATATGTCAACATTCATTATCATCTCCTGAGTTCGGAGCCACATTGGAAACAAAGGGCCTATATTCCAGCCGCCGATTGCAAAGTCTATGGCTTGAAAAGGTGGAATCCAATTCCGACTCACTTTTAAAGTCAGATTATTTCTAGATGCAAAGAAGAGTTGTAATTGTGTTAATTTAGAGAAATGACTTTCTGTTACAACACCTTCCAACTTATTGTTAGAAATGAAAAAGTATTCTAGCATTGGAAGTTTGCCAAGACTTTTTGGAAGAGTTCCAGTAAGTTTATTACCATCTAGTCTCAATTCCATTAAAGAAGAAGTATTTCCCAATCCCCTTGAAAAGAAATTACTCCTACCTTTGAATAGTTCAGATACTTGTCCCTGTCCCTCAAATTGATTTTTTTGAGAGAGAAAGAAATTCTAATTTCCCTAAAATTCCAATTACATTTGGTAACTTCCCAGAGAGCATATTACCATAAATGTAAATATTAGTTATTGAGCTCAAATTTGAAATCAGACTTGAAACTACTCCCTCAAGACGTGTCACGATCCAGACCATCGTAATTGGCATCGACACTAACCCTCCGGTGGGTGAACCATTACTACAACCCAACTAACCATAAAACTTCGATCGTGAAGTCAGAATCGGGCTCAATTTCACCTAAGAAAATGTGAAACAAAATAACTGTCAATTAATATTCATATTAAAATAAATGAATCACAAAAAAATGTCTTTTCGAATATATATAACCTAGCAAATAGTGTCGTACACCTTGTTTCTCAGTGTGTGTGATCTTGTTGGTCATGATTTCAAGTCCCTTATATACTTGCATTTTGTCCGAGTTGATTATTTCTCCTCGAAAATGCGTGGCAAGGTCAACAGAGAGACGATATTTTCCCGTTCCTGTTGACTCCCATTATGAACACCACTTTCTTCTTGTTGAACTTGTTGTTGTTGATGAAAGTATTCATTTTAGCTACACATAAAACAAAATCATGATAATAATTAGTTTAAAATACTAAATAATTTCATGAAAACCACTCATGCATGCACTCACACATTAAAAAATCTTGTAAATATAAAGTTAATAAGTAGAAACCTTGCTTGAGATGTAATAAACTATGTAAAAGAATATATTTTTCTTGACGGTGGTTATGAAAGAGATTGCATTGAGAATTTATAGTAAAATGTATTTGTGGACTTATTAATTGGCATACCATATTCAGAAATACTGATAACTTTTAAGATAAGATCAATGACTTTTGAAAATTATATAGATATGCCAACTTGAATTTTGGTAATGACAATTAAATAATTTTAGGATAAAGTTATTAGTTTAAAGGTAGAGATAATGATAGTTTATGTACACTCAATAATAATATTGTGATAATCTTTTTTGAGAAATCCTTTCACAATATCCAGGCATAGTTGCAAAACAGTATTCCTCCATGCTTCGTCAACAACTTATTTTCTATCTTCTTTGAAAACGTCATTATCTATAATGCGACGCACCAACCACATTTTCACATTTATTAATCGTTGAATCTTGTCAAGTTGGTGAAAAATTAATGAACGAGTATTACGCTTGATATTTGAAATTGAAGCTTGAAGAATCATGTTCTTTGATTCATCATCTTCGTCTATATTTTTCTTTCCCCTTAAATATCTGTCACGACCTAGACCGTCGTGATTGACATCCCCACTAACCTTCCGGTGGGAGAACCATTACTACATCCCAAACTAAAAACTCAACTAAAACTAAGGCATTTAAAGATAGAGAAGCACATTTAAATGTTAAAGAAAAAATAGGGAGTTCCCATAAACTCCAAAAGTCTAACCAAACAAATGCGGAAATAATACCTAGAACCTGAAAGTCAATGTACCAAAACATCTAAAGTTCAACAAGTCTAAGAAAATGGTACCACTCGATTAAACATAAGAAATCCTAAGTACTAGTCTAAGTCCGAAATGTGGACGTAAACGAAAAGAGAACTCATGGCAGCCCGAAAGAATTGGCTCACCCTTGAATTCGATGATGATCACTGATCTTCTAAACGAGGTCTGTCAATAGCTTCCCGAAGATGCCCTGTATTCAACAAAGAAAGAGCAAGTGCAGTATCAATACACAACCACAGTGTACTGGTAGGATCATGCGGCTATCCCACTAAGTGCAACATACATAAGCCATTACAACATAATAAACATGCATACACTGAACATATACAATATCAATTATCACTTACGAACCACACACATTTTCACAATTCTCAAGATCTACAGTTATGCCAAGTCAATGGTCCTCTCATGGAACCCACACCCAAACTGTTAGTGTACCGGTACGTGGTACCCGTTCCAAGTTAGTGTGTCAGATCGTGACACCAGTTCCAATGTTTATGCCGAAACGTGGCAACCGATCCCAGTTAGTGTATCAGAACGTAACACCTGATCCATTCAACAAGCCACAATCACAATCACAATGTACATTCTCATAATCATACAATCAAGTCATGATTCATGGCATTCAATTATCCGTCTATCTTCATTTACGATTAGTGTGATCAATAATGCAACATTCGCATACATACATGTATTATAATGAAGCAAGAACAAACATACATCACACAACATGAAACCACAACCATCACCTACCTCGAAACAAACTTGAATCCTTTAAGAACTTGATTCTTCCCTTTCTGAATTCGTTCCACTTGTTCTTGGTTTACAAACAATCACAATAATGCGAGGATCAATAAACAACACCTATTTACCCGGATTATAACAATAATATCAATCCTAGGTCAATCCCTTGATCCCCATACCAAGATTAGGGCTTTTTCCACCATAATTTCCAGATCAAAACCCTCCCCCCATCGATAATTACCCACTAGTCTACATTCTACGGATCGAAAAACAAATTCAGGGAGTTAAGCACTTACCTTTAGCCTCAAGAATGGTGAAAAACGGTCAAGAAAACACCTGGGGTTGTTCCATAGCTCTCAAAGTCGAAAGGTGCACAATAAAACTTTTTTGGGGTTTATTTCTGACTTAAGTTGCGACTGTCCCACTATGGTGGTACTCACCTTGCTACAGCGGCCTCGCCCTGGCGGGAAAATCCCAACTCAGCGGCTTGCAAGGAAACAGTGAGTTATTTTAATAAATCCAAAACCCCCATTTCATAACACACCTTCAACCAATGACATTCAGAAACTACCCGTTCACGCTAAGATCAATTTCAGGAGTTCCACTCGCTTGAATTCAATTCCATAAATTCGTATGGGTTCCTTAACGTCTTAGTTATCTATTCAAATTATCAGTATCATAATTAGATCACCCAATTATTACCAAATTTCCCTCGACTTTACTGACTTCAATTTTGTCCAAATCTGGACTAGGTTGGGAAATTCCAAGTTACTACGAAAAAGTTTTCCGGCAAAATATTGTTCCCCATTCGCTTTTCTATAACGACAGAAACCGGTTGTTACAAGACGATTTTCACTAAGGTAAAGTGATTCTAGATCTTTGTATCAATATAGCCAATTTGGTATGGTGGACTTAAGGTTATCATCAGAAAGATCGAGATACTTAAGTGTTGTTATGTTTCTACTCTTATTTGGTATTGCACCTTTAATACAACTAGAACGGAGGTTAAGATGCTTTAGATTACTTAAATCAAACAACCATTCGGGTAAAAGACAATTGAAAGAGTTTTCAAAAGCCTTGAAGGTTGTGAGAGAAGTCAAGTTAACTTGATAGTCAGGAAACGGCCAGTAAAATTATAATCACTCAAATTAAGAGAAACAAGATTGCCAAAGTTGAAAACCCACTTGGGAATAGGTGAATCAAACTTGGTCCTAGTAAGATAGAGGGTTTCAAGTGAAGAAAAATTGTGATGAAGTAGATTTGTTATATTGTAAAGAATACAATTGGATAAACTTAGATCAACCAAAGAAGGAAGCATGTTAATAACCTGTAGCGAGTTAGTTGCTTCGTAGAGATCCACATTTTACATTTCTGGGTTCTCAAGACTCAAAAGAGTTGGCAACCACTCTAGGTTATCAATCCTTAGATAACTTATATGTAGTTCAATTACACGACGAGTTAGATTGTTGCACACAACTCCTTCCCGTTCACAACAATCTTTTCCGACAACCCAAGAAGAGGGAATATCTGAGGGATCATCTACTTCTTTCTTCAAGCTCTCCAATGCTCATTGCTCATTTTCTCTACAAATCCCAACACAAATGACAAACTTGGTATTTATAAACAAGAGAACCCATAGTG